ACACTGCATTCGATTTTCATCGTACGACGAAAATCGGATGCAGTGTGAATCCAGCATAATAGATGATAGTATAGCCCGAATTCTGATTGGCTTCTGCTTTCCTACTTTTTTTGCTTTTCCGTCCTAGTTGCGTCCTATGACTTATCGTTCTGTGAACGCCATTTTCTATCCAACTAGAACTTATGCCAGTCTCTTATTATAGTGTCTCTATGGTCTTATACATAAGGAAAAGTGGGGAGTTAGCAGTCTAGTATTATAATAGAAATCTGTGGCGCAGCTCCAGGGCCCCTATTCTTGAAAAATATCGCATACAAAAACTAGGGAAATACTATAATATGCGTCACATATATTATAGCATTTCCCTAGTTTTTCGTATGCGATACTTTTCCCTAGGATGGAAAGTGAAAAGTGAAAATTTTTACCATTGAAGTTAATGGAGAAATTTTTCACTTTTCACTTTCCATCCTAAGGGCCACTGTCACCAAGCTCAGTTAATTTAACTGGCCAGTTAGTCCATTGGAATTGACCAATCGCATTTGTCATTTTGTTTGAAGCAAACTGAAGTTAACTGAGCTTGGTGACAATGGCCCTTAAAAAAGGATATTCCTCTCGCGAAAGTTCCTAAAATTTGGTTGGTACTACTGTTGTCACTAGCGCGAGTAACTTCAAGCGTTTCGGGTTTCGTGTGCGAGTCAGCACATCAAGACGTTCCTTTCGCATGGGTCTTGCGTAGCAAAATGGCCGCCTGAGCGAGTGAGTGAGCGAGTGACGTTTCTCGCAAGGTGTTTGCGTCTGCGATCGCGCCGCGCAGTCTTCGCGCATGAATATTCGCGCGTGCAAACGTGTACGTGTTTTCGCAACGTGTCACGCGTTCGTCTGCCTAGCCCGCGTGGAAGGTGATCGTTTGCGCGGCCGCAAGTGAGTGCGGCTGCGTTCCGCCTGCACTGCTCGTCTCGCCGCAAACGGATTTAGGTGCGTATTTGCGTATAAGTACGTTCGCGCGGCGTACGGGCCGTCGACGCGCGGCACTGGAACGCACGTCGTCGGTCTGCACCGGTGATCTGTGATTCACGACTTCCACACGTCCTGAGGGCCGCGATCCGGGCGTGCGCGCGCGCGCGCGCACACATACGCGCACACACGCATGCACACGCACGCATGCACGACAGCGAGAGTTTGGTTATACTCCGGACGTGATTTTTTTCTCCGTCGCTTTCAGTGGGCGGTATTTAAATGACAGAACTGGACCGACGCGACATATAAAGCCGACTGATTTAAAGCCCACGTCTGTTTTCCCAATTAGAACGGCTGCTTCGCTAATCACGTTGAGTTCTGATCTGCCGTGAAGAAAATGTCGAGAAAATGTTATGTGCATACATTCTCCTGTTTTGCGCGAGTTTCTCTTTTACCACCATTCAATTTGGCTCTTAATTGTATTATCGAAAATATGTATTTTTTTATTTAATAATTTTGACTAAAGTGATGTTTAGATTGGAAGCATGTAAAATATTGCATATGTTAATAGCAGAAATTGACAAGAAATTTTATAATTTAGTTGTAGACAGTTGTGAAGACTAACGTATTGAGTTAAACATAATTCGAACTGTCTGTTTCGCAACTCAAAATTTTCTCATTATTTACATAAATAAATTTCTTTATAATTATCATAAGAAATTGTAAATGGAATACCAGAGTATAATGTTTGAATTATTTCATATCAATGTTTTTCAATTTATGTTAATTTATGTTAATACATTAGTTAACATAAATTATTCTTCTGAATATTTTTTAGAGTCAGAATTAAAGAGGCAGAGAGGATCAGTGTACATTTATTTGTATTTAATTTAATTTAAATTATATCATGTGTTTACAGAGAGAGCTTATAAAAATACAGAAATGGAAATTAATCATGCTAATTTGTGCTTATATCGACTTCCGAGAAGGTTTCCTCATAATTTCATGTTATATTTGGGCCAAAACGCTCCATATTTTTACTCTGACATTACGTTGACCTGGTTCAATTCGTGTCGAGAGGAGGATCATATGGGATGACGGAGTGATTAATGCGCCTGGGCCAGGCAAACTGGCCCCGGTTGCTCAGGTTCATGTGAACTCGGGCAATTAGCAATTGGCTAATTATATGGTTAACGGACGATGAATAACACAGTTGCACGAGCGTGGGGCGCTTAATTGCGCGCCACAAATGGAAAGGCTCTTCCTTCCCAGTCGTGCATTTTTTCCATGTTCCTATTCCGCCAAATCACGGCCGAAACACGAACGATTTGCTTCCTGTGCTTCTTATCTAACTAAATTCGGTCTGAGAAGGATATCGCGGAAATGTGCGTTTTTAAAAAACGTTTTTAAAAAACAACTTGGTCGTTACGTGAAAGAACGATTTTATAAAGAAGACCGCGCCGTATTTTTATCTTCTGGGTATGCCACTCATGTATTATTAATAACCTGTCGATATATGTATATACGCTCTTTCGAAAATATTCACAATGTTGAATCTACTATTCGTTTACTATTTACCATTCTAGTCTTTTTACAATTACGCAAGCTTTAATGTGTGTGATCCACAGATATTTATTATTTTCGAATTTCTTCGAAGGTAGCATAATGCTTAAAATATTTAGAATAAATTTAGACATTAAGATAAAGAATCATCGTAAGTTTTGTAGCTGACGATGCTTTCTGTTTTTGTTTCAGAGGGGCAATATTTTCGGAAGATGGATACTTGATGCAAAGCATAGGTACGCTTCCAAGATATTTTATTTTAAATTAATCCTTTTATTGTTCCGTGAATTGATCGTCTTTGAGCGAGAAACAATGCAAGGAAATTAATCCGTAATTACAAACGGCAAACAGCAGAAATTTCGCATTACACTTCGGTATTAGCAACGCCATTCTATTTAGCGCCTGCACTTTATATCAATGCTTATGTACATAAGCGCGCTAGCGAGAGATTCGAGAAACAAGAAACAAATGCTGCTTTTTGTATTGACTTCAATTCTCCCTTTATACGAGTCAAGTACCGGGTGTTTGATCCCGCTATTCAGTAGTAGCGCTATTCGCATTTCACGCATTCCACGATCTGATCGACACTCGACGTCGTTCTGGACATCTCGTCTTTGCGTCAACGTTGCTAAAGGACGGGATATGAATGAAATGTATGTGTGTGAAAGTAGGATTTCAGAAATATAAAGATAAATTAAAGGAGAAATAATAGATAAGAGCGAGGTAGCAATTTATGATCGAGATATTATTCTTTTTAGAAGAAAGATATGTAAACCTTAAACACATAACAATTTATTATTTATTTATTTTTATATATCATCTATTTTCAGATCTGTTAATAACGTTTATTTTATTACATAATGAGATAGTTAACTTTGAGAAATAATTGATTCAAAGATAGGAGACAATAAAATATGCTTTGTGGTTAGAAGGACAGATGAATTTAAATTAAACTTAAAATTACTTTAGGAATTCGTGCTCGATGATATATTTTTCGTATTATAGTTGTAGAAAAGGAATAAATGAAGTAAAAAAACGGATCTCCGTTTTTTATTCTCTCGTTTGCACATCAGTGAGCTATCCGGGCTGTCAACGCGGTCAGACACGCAAGGTGTCCCTTGCGGCTCGTGTTTCGACACAAAAGTTTCCACCGCGCTTCGCGTGTTCGGAAGTTCTCGCGAGCCGGGAAGAAAGCGTTCCGCGCGAGAGGAAGAGAGGTTGTCCCCCGGAGAGTCATGTGCGGGACAACGTCAGATGGAAAACGATGGTGGGTCACGGTACAGTAACGTGTACTGTTAAAGAGCACGCAACAACGAGCGCGTTCGCCGGGCGCGAATCTGTTGCACGCACCCGTTTTGCCTCTGTGTCGCCGGTTCCCTGTCCCTCCCTCTACATCTTTTACATTTACGCCCTTTTACGCTCTCTCGCGAGATATTAATAGGACTGCGGTGCGTGCCGGTCAAGCACGCATGCGAGCGAGCACGAGCCTCATATAACACGCCTTCTGTGAAATTAGCAATCGTGAATCTTGTCTCTCATAAACGATCTTCTAGATCCTTAACCATGCATTCTCAATTCGGTATGTAATATACTTGACAAAAGAAAAGTTTGTTCTGGTTATAAGGATTCTATCCATGTGAGATCTTCAAGTAATACATTCTCCAAATTGATTAACAAGAAAAGATCGTCTATTAATATACGTTTTAGATTTTTATACAAGTTTTACTATATGTTTT